CGGGGGGGGGGGGGGGGGGGGGTCACCCCAAACTGGGCAGAGGGACACAAAGACCCAGCTCCATGTCCTGGGGGTGGGGGGTTGGGGGGAGGGGAGGATTTGGGAGAGGAAAATGGGGGGGGGGGGGTGTCCCACCCAGATTTGGGGGTTCCCACATGGATTTGGGGGTGTTCCCCCCCCCCCCAATTTCTTCCCCTCCCCCCGAAGCGGAAATTATTTGTCTCTTTATTAAATAAATATTACAAAGGGTTTAATTTTAATCCAGTTTATTTCACTTTAAGTCTTTCTCCAAAAACTGGGGGGGTCTTCAACTCTCTCAAGGTGTCCCCCCCAACTTTGTTGTCGGCCCCGAGCTCAAATCCAATGGAAAAGAGGGAAAAGAAGGGGGAAAACCCCTTTAAATATGTGCAAAAAAGGCCCATTTCCATCCCCCTACAAAAAAGACCCATGCAGGCCAGAAACTGGGTCTAAAATCCTGCAACGTGGGGCCAAAATCCTCCAAACTGGGACCAAATCCCACAAATCGGGGCCTGAAATCCCAAAATTTTGGTCTGAATCCAGAAATTTGGGATAAAATCCGGTAAACGAAGCAGAAAAGTGCAAATTCAGGTGAAAAATCCACAATTTCAGCCTGAAATCTAAAAATTTGGTCTAAAATCCTGGGAATTTGGGCTGAAAAAAAATGGAAAGTGGGACCAAAATCTCCAAATTTGGGCTGAAATCCTGAAAATAGGGGCTGAAACTCTGAAATTTTGGTCTGAAATCCTGGAAATTTGGGCCCAAATCCCCCAAACTGAGGTCGAACTCCACCAAATTTTCCCCAAACCAAGCACATCCCCCCACCCCACCCCTCCCCTTAGCCCAGCATTCCCAGGGTAGTTTCTTTTGGGGAATGTGGCCACAGGAAGAGACCAATTCAAGACAAAAATCAGTGCAAATATGGGAATAGGGACCCCTTGCCCCTCCCCCAAATTGGGCCAAAATCCTGCAAATCTGGGCTGAAATCCTACAAATTGGCCTGAAATGCTTCAAATTTGGGCCCAACCCCCCCAACTTTACCCTGAAATCTAGAAATTGGGTCTAAAATCCTGAAAATCAGAGCTGGGATCATGAAAATTTCACCAAAATCCCCAAATTTGGCTGGAAAACCAAAAACTGAGACCAAAGTCCTGAAAGCTGGGGCTGAAACCCAACAAATTGGGCTGAAATGTTGCTTTTTGGTACCAAAAATCCATATTGCCCAGAAACTCAGAAACCTGGGCCTGAAATCCTGGAAATGGGGTCTGAAGTCCTTCAACAGGGCCAGAACCTTGGGAATTTGGGGTAAAAATCCCCCAAACGCAGCCTGAAATCCTTGGACTTTGGTCTGAAATAACAGAAACCGGATCCAAATGGCTGCAAATCAGGGCTGAAATCCAAAAATCGGGTGTAAAACCCCAAAAACTGGGGCTGAAATCCCACAGATGTTACAGAAATCCCCAAGATTTTGCCAGAAACCCCAAAATCCAGGATGAAACCCAGGCTGAAACCCCGAAAATTCAGACCAAAGTTCAAAATCCCCCAAATGAGGCCAAGCTCCCCCAGATTTGTCCCAAACTCCCCCAAATTGCCCCCGACCCCCCCAATCCCGCCCCCTCCTCCCGATCCCGGCGCTGCGGGGTCTTGTCCCGGGAATGCGGGCGCAGGAAGAGGCTCAGCCGGGGTAGTTGGAGCCGTGTATTGTCTCGATGCCAATCCAGAATAAAAACAGTGCAAATACAGGAACAGGGACCCCCTGGCCCCCCAAAATCCACCTCCCGCCCCCCTGACGCCCCCCCCGGGGGGGTCCCGCTGCCACCCCGGCTGTGAAAGGCACAATTTTCGGGAAGTGCAGCCCCGGGGGGGGCCCCAAAATCCCGGAGACCCCCCCAGCACCACCCCCCCTTCCCTCCCCCCCAAAGCCCCCCGGGGCCCCCCCGGGGCCCCCCCCGGGCCCCCCCTTTGCACGGTTCATGTCACACACAACGAGGTCACACGACAAGGACGTGACACTTCCACAACGATCCTGGGAGACTCCCCCGGGAATTTCGGGGGGTTTTGTGGGTTTTCTTTTTTTTTTTTTTTTCTTTTGTGTGGTTTTTTTCCATAGTTTTTGTTTTCCCCGTTTTTTTTCCTCATCTGTTTTTTTCTTTTTTTTTTTTCTACACAATGTACAAGGTTTGATTTTTATTATTGTTATTTTTTCTTCTTTTTTTGTGGTTTTTTTTTTTCCTTTTTTTGTCTTTTTTTTTTTTTGCCTTTTGAACAGGAAACAGCTCATTCTTTTTTTTTTTTATATATACACGGACGAGTCCTGGTTATATCGGCAGCGAGAGCAGAAGCAAACGGGATTGGGGGGGTGGGCAGGAATTTAGGAATTCTGAGGGAATCCAGGACAGGATTTGCCTTTGGAGGAAACAAAATTAAAAAAAACCAACCCCCTCCC